AATCGAAATTCATATCGTGGAAGAAACTAATATTTGAATTGTGCATTATAAATTGTATTGAAGACAATCAAAAATATATCATATAAATACTCGATAATTTTAAGCTAGAAATTAACAATATCACTTCATCAGTCTTACAAAATAACTGCAGTGCGAGGAGGGGACGTAGCTGCTGCCTGCTGGCGATGAGCTGTGCGAGGAGATTGCCACGAATGGGAATGGGTTTTAGGGTTTCGACAAGAACTTGAAGCTTCTTGCGTGACTTCCTCTCTTGCGTTTCACTTCGGTTTAGATTAGGTTTAGATTTTTTTTTGCGTTTCACTTCAAAGTTGATGGGCTAATGGGTGGGTTTATAACTCTGGGCTATTATTTGGGATAGGCCCAATTTGGTAGAAAATAAGTTTGGATCGGTTTGGATTGGATCGGTTTTCAATATCCAAACCGAAAACCGATCCAATCCAGTAAATATTTGCAGGTTTTTTCGGTTTTCGATTTTTCAATTTTCGATTATTTCAATTTTCGATTTTTCAGTTCAAATTTTGCGGTTTAGATCGATTTATGAACATCCCTAGCTGGTACTGGAACTCAACTGGGCTACTCATTAACAAGAGTTAAAACCTGGTGCACAGGTTGCACTAATGGATTTTTAAGCCATATTCCACCACATGTTAATAATCTGTTTGTGCAACCGACGAGACAATCAGTAATGCCACCAACTCTTTGGCAACAACTTTGATAACTCCGCCTACAGATCTTGCACGAACTCACTCGTTAACGCTCGCTTATTTAAGATGTTCAAATGGATTGGATTTCGTAGACTATCCCGCAAAATCTTAAATTTAACCATAATTTTTTAGAATTTTAGTGTGATAGGCGCTTTTTTAGCTCTAATCCCCAAAATCTTATAATTTAGTGGCTTGGTTAAGGTTTATCTTTAGGCCAAATTTTTTTCTTCATAAAAATTATTATTATTATTATTAAAAAAATAAAAAAATATATAAAACACATATAAATTTAAATATTTTAAAATATAAAATAAATTATAAACATAATATAAGAAAAAATAATATTTTCAGAAATGATAATATATTTTAGCAGAGAACTTCATCGGCACATTAGTAAAAAATAAAAATTTTATTGACATTCAAGTATATTATATATCCAAATTTGCCCTAAAACATATTCTATACAGTGCACGGTGCACCCTTGTAGTTTTGTGGATAATAGTAAGCAAAACAGCTTTTCTAACTATGCTAACTGAAAAAAAAAATCAATTGTTTAACTTTCAAATATATAGCATAATAAGAATAATGATTCAATACAAGTATTAAGATCATATTTTCATGGCTCCTTTTGGTTTTCCACTAGTTGATGTCAGAAATGGTGTTGTTATGACTCCTAATGAGAAAACTTTTATTTGATAGCATTCTTTAACCACGAAATTTAGCAAAGATAGTAAAATTAAATTTTCACCTATATTAAAATGTTGATTACATTTTTACTTGTATACTTGTGTACAGATATTATTTTATTAAAAAAATAAATTATGAAAAATTTATATTTTTTATAGAATATTTTATGAAAGTGTTAAATATTTATTTAATAAAATAACTTTGGATGTATTAAATATGATATAAAAAATTGTTGAAATTATAATTACAAAATAAAATGCTAAAATGAAAAAAAAAATTATACGAGTTTCAAGTCGATCCAAAAAGGTCAGTTACCATATGAAAATAAATTAAAATGACAATATTATTTTCAACTTGACTATTATAAATTTGAGGAGAGTTATATTGACAAAGTTTTATTTTTTATAAACTTACAAACTACACTATGTCTTACCAATAAGACTTCACTCAAGAGTTGAAAGAAGTCGATCTTACCGGTAAGACATAGTATAGTTTGTAAGATTTTGTAAACAAAAAGTTTATAAATATAACTTTTTCCTATAAATTTATAATAAATTAATTAAGTCATATAGATACTAACTTTTATATGTAAGTTTTTTTTATTTCAAGGGACAGAATATACTTACCACTAAAAAATTTATCACTCTTACAACCAATTTAACTACCGTTGATTTCCGTCAATCTAACGGTTATAATTTATTGGGAATTAATAATTAATTAATAAATGTGATATAATATATGTTATTAATTTCTAATAAATTATAACCGTTAGATTGACGAAAATCAATTGCAATTAAATTGATTATAAGATTGGTAAACTTTTTTATGGTAAGTGGATCCATTCCCTAATATAATATTAATAGTATATTTGAATCGATTTATTTTATATTTAATTTTCTCAGTAAAAGTTATACAAATATTTTGTAAAAATTTATCTCAAACATATATTAGATATTTAAATTTTAATTTAAAAGAAATAGTTATAAAATAAAATTTAAAACACGGACAATATAACTAATTCAAATTCTTCGTTGCTTCAATATATTATTCAATATATGATGGTTGAATGCCACAGACAAGATATACATTGCAGTCGTAGTGCAATCGTGCTTTAAGAAATAATTCAAAGAACAAATATTTTTTCAATTGGATAGCTGTGACTTACTTTTTTTTTTTTTTTTATCTAATTTCTTATTTTTCTCATTAAAATAATAAAAGCTAAGAAAAAAACAAGGGAACAAGTCTACCTAACAAAATGAAGTGTGGCTTACCTTTTTATATCTAATTTCATATTTTTTTATTAAAATAAAGAAAGCTCAAAAACAAAAAACGAAAAAGACGAAAAAAAGGAGAACATATTTGATTTTCAGAAAATATTTAGGCCACTTTTTTTATAATCATCATCATTCAATGAAAAAGAAGAAAGAGAAAAAAAAAAAAACTCTAAACTTAATTATTTAGGAAAAAATTTATGGTGTCCTTCAATTGAAATTTTCTTATTATATTTTTTTATCTTCTCTAATCAGCTTTTTCTCTCTTTTTTATTTTTCTGCCCCATTGAATATTATGTGCTACTGAACATTAAATATGCTCTTATTATTTAGATGCCTCCGTAAGAGTAACAGACCAACTTGATATGCATTCAGTGAAATATAATACAATATTGATCGAAGAAAGTTGAAGATAATGGCACGCATACCTTAGAAAAACATTTTCTTTTACACTAATTCATAACACATTTCCGCGATTCAAATTAAGGTTCGCTTTTTCTACAGGGTAAGTTATCTGTAGTAAGTTCAATATGATGTTGTTTTGGATAAAAATTATGGTATTTTTATAATTTTAATTTGTTTCAGAATTATAATAGTATTTATATTTATAATTTTTTAAAATTTCAATACCAAAACGACATCGTTTTGAAAATAAATGCAGATAACTGCAAAAATATTTTTCCCTTCAAATTATAGTACCCAAAAATCAGTAAGAGAAAATAAAATAAAATATTTCTGTTTTAATAAAAATTACAAAAATATAACTGTTTTGAACCAATTTATAAATCTACTGCATTCATTCACGTTCAATTTGGGTTAAACCTTTCACGCCTAGCCCAGACACGAATTCTAAGCCTTTCACACCCTATTTAAGGGTGTGTGACCCTTTGTGCCTCGTGTAGGCGCGAATGAATTGGCCTATAAATATGTAACGTCCGACTGCTTCAAGAATCAATGATTACCTCACATACTAACATAAGATTTTTCAGTGTGCTTTTTCCTCACTCGTAAACTTATTGGAAAACTTTCCAATATGTCACCCATCCCAGAATTGGTGCAAGTCAAGCACGCTTAACTATATGGAGTTCTTCTGTTCCAGGCTACCGAAAAGTAAATGCATCTTGTTAGTATAAGTAGTATCAATTAATTCTTATAAGCTATCCCCAACTGTGCAGTCTCATACTTGTACAGTCTTTGAAATCTCTCTCTTTCGGGTGTCAATTCAATTCATTCATGTAATCCTCTGCTGGAAGCCTGTTATGAGTCGTTCTTTGTCCGTGTCCTTTATCACCGGTGATCACTCCTTGTAACGCCCCGTTCTAGAACCGGTTTGTTAACATCGCATTATGATATTAAGCGCAGTTACAATCACATGGGTTCAATTAAAATCCGGATAAATTTTTCATTTTAAAACGTACCGAACTTATAATACCCCATTTCGTGATCATAACCAAATTACCTTGCGGAAACAGATAAATTAAGCTTAACATCATGTTCATTTTCCATTTTTAAACCTTTAATTTACTTCTTGTTTAGTTCAATACTCCTACTATATTGTAGGTTTCTTCATTAGCTACCTGTGGCTTCAAACCGTGCTCAAATCGGAGCACTGTAGCCCAAGTTAGGACAATTTGGAGCAACACAAGAGAGTGTTGGTCACAGGCCCAGCGCGCTTCAGCGCGCTACCGGGCGCTCAAGCGCGCGCTATCGGGCGCTAAAGCCTCCACCTGGGCGCTTAAGCGCACGGAGGCAGGAAGCATCAGGTATTTCAATGTGAATGGGCGCTTAAGCGCGCATCAGGGCGCTCAAGCGCGCAACCCTGGGCGCTTAAGCCCCACAATGGGCGCTAAAACGCGAGGGGACAGTAAGCATCCCATCTTTCTGCAGCAGAGGGCGCTTAAGCGCGAGCCAGGGCGCTCCAGCGCGCAATCCTGGGCGCTTAAGCCCCCACTTGGGCGCTCCAGCGCGAGGAGGCAGAATGCATTGGCACTCGCAGGGGCAGCAGGGCGCTTGGGCGCGCTCCTGGGCGCTTCAGCGCGCTGCCAGGGAATTCTAATTCCCACATTTTTCAACTCCAATCCTAGGGGAAGGTGCATCCCCATTACCAACCCCAATTGTCTATGCCCCCAAACTAAATCCTAGCACTCATCCAACCTCTACTCATGAGATTTAGCTAGAATTTGGGCAGCATGACCTTTGTTTTCTCATCGTTTACCAATTTAAACAAAGGGTACCTAATTGATTTTCAGCCCAACCAATTCAACAACTCAATACATCACAAGCATGCATATATTGAATCTCAAAGAGACATCGTTTACTTTACATATCCTTTACAAATCATAGAACTTAGCTTACAAAACACTATGATCATTCCCTTGGCTCCCATCAACAAAAGGTGTAACCAAAGGCATGAGCATAGGCTAAGTTCATTCAATGAATCAAGGCATACAAATGACCAAGGGCTTTCAAAATAAACTCCTATACATGTCAACTACAAAAGGCATGCATAAACTCAAAAGGAATGCCACATCTCATGCATAATCCAGATATGGCCACTTGCCACCAGAGGCTCCTGCAGCATCCTTACCTGAAAGGGGGTCCCCACAACACGGGGTGAGATATACGAATATATCCAGTAAACCAGGGGTCCTTGGAGCATCTCTCCACCCCACAGTTCCATATCAGTGTAATAGCAATAACAATAATAATGCAGTAAATACATATCTATGCAAAGTGCAATACATCTCCAGGAGAAATCCCTCGAGCTCTCAAGCTGTCCTAAGGAAACTCAGATGCAAATAGTCCTACTGGCCAGCTAACTACCAAGTATGATTTACGCATCGTCATGCAACATACCAACATAGGGAAACACCATCCTATGCCACACCAAATGCATACACATACGTATAACAAAGCATTACACTATTTTATTGCATTTATATACACAATCACAACCTCTACCCTTTCAGGGCTTGGTAGAACAGTCAAGGGAATTACACCCAAGGTCCGAAGGCTTACCTCAAGCTTCAACTTGACCTTTGTTCACCACCAACAGGTTCCACAGTCAGTCAATTACAATACTTCACTTCTCAAACAAAACCTACACAAGGTTTAATGCAATCAACACATTTTGCATCCAATAACATCTCATAGCTATCAACCAAGCTATACAATTCATACCAACATAAGCATGAACTCACCTATCCAATGGAGCTAATCAAGCTCCATAGCTTGCTCCAATGGTTGATCACTCACGGTTGGTCCAAATGTCTCGATCCTAGACATCACAAGGATCCAATCATCAATCAACCAAGCCATACCATTTATCAACAATGCAAGAAATCCAATATCAAGCATCATATTCTTGCCATTTTACAAGTATGCTCATTTAGCTATCTAAGCTCATTTTCACCGATTAAATGACATTCCTAGCATTTTCCATAACATGCTCTAAGCTCCATTCTTCCTAGAACATAGCTAATTTAACTACATTTCATCAAAATCCCAATTTACTATTCATAAACCCTAACCCATGCAAATTTCAAGGAATCATGAGGTTCAAGGGTTTAAATCTTACCACCAATGGTTGCACAACAATGATGGGAGTGTTCCTCAAGCTCCCATGGAGGTAGAACTTCCCAAAACCCCAATTTTCACCAAAGGGCCGAATTTTTGAGAGGTAATATCTCTCTCCACAATGCTCCCCACTCAAAACAAAGCTAGGATTATGAAAGAGGAGGAGATTTGGAGTGGTTTAGGCTTTGGAATCACTCAAAATGGTTGAGATTTGCTCTCTCTCTCTCTTCCTCCCTTTCCCTCCTTCTCCTTCTTCTTCCTCTCTTCTTTTCTCTGATTCTGGCGTCGACGGGGAAATGGGGGGATTTGGGTTCTTTTTGGTTACTTTATCACTTAACATAGGTTAAGTGGTAACATGTGGGTATTGGTTCGTCTATCTACTCCACTCCATTAATTACCAAACTTTACCCAAAAGTCTGGAATATTATTCTAGGAATATTACTATTTTTATTTTTATATTTTGGGCACTTTCACCAGTACCCATTTATACCCTTTAATTTTCACTGAGTACACTTTTTAACTCCAAAGTGACTCAGATTCATTTAATTAAGCATTATACTTAATTTTACCCAGTAAAACATGGTTAATTAATTAATTACACTAGATTTACTAATTAATTAAGTTGGGCTATTATACTCCTAGCCCTCGTCAGCACCCGGGATGTTAGAAAATACCACAAAAATTTCACTTTTTTCTTTTACACCATCTCTCTACCTTCTTTCGAAAAATTTACTCTGACTTCTCTCTAGATTTTTTTCTTTAAGTTTTTTGTGCAATAAAGCTATGCCAATCAAGTAAGTTTTAATATCTAATTTCTCTATTTTTTAAATACAATAATAGATATGTTATACTAGTGACCTAGAAATATGTTAGTGACTTAGAAAATTATTAATGACCTAGGAATCTGTTAGTAACTTAGACAATTGTTAGTGACTTAGGAATTTACTTATGGTTAAGAAAATGATTAGTGAATTAAAAAATTGTTAGTGATTTAAAAATTTGTTAGTGATCTAAGAATTTATAAATTTCTTATGAATTTATTTTTAACTTATGACAATTGTAGGGAATTATAATATATGGGCTGATAATATATAGTCATACATCTGTATGTATATTAATTAATCTTATCATTTATCAAATGGGTGGATGTAGCAAAATGAACACCTAAACACTCATAAAAAAAAAAAAAAAAACAAAACAAAACAAGAAACGAACTTTCTTTTATGAGATAACTATCCACCTAACAGTCTAACACATCAACTTGACCTGCAGGCAATAGAATACTAATTAAACATAGACCTGACAAAGTTAAAAATAATGGTACGCACACTCTAGAAAAATATTTTCATATCATTCATCAACACATTTCCATGATTAAAAACTGCAGTACCCAAAAATCACCAAAGCATCATCATAGTAGCTTCAGTTGCAGAAACAGCAAGCTATTATGATGAGATGAAATGAAATGAAATGGCAGAAACTGCAGTATCTTTTGTTGTGCAGCATTTGTGCCAACTTCTAGTAGAAGAAGCGAATTTGCTCAGAGGGGTCACAAATGACTTCACATCTATCAAAGGTGAACTTGAGAGCATCCAAGCCTTCTTGAAGGATGCAGACAGAAGAGCTAGAGATGAAGGAGACACCAACGAAGGAATAAAAACGTGGGTGAAGCAACTCAGAGAAGCATCTTTTCACATAGAAGATGTCATTGATGAATACATCATGTATGTTGCACAGAGAATCAATCATCATGGATGCTTAGCCTCACTCCAAAAGATTGTTCACGTGATCAAAAATTTGAAGCATCGTCATAGGATTGCATCTGAGATTCAAGACATCAAATTTTCTGTTAATGGAATCAAAGAAAGAGGTGAAAGTTACAAGTTTCAGCGGTCTTCACATGAACAAGGATCAAGCAGCAGTGGAATATGGAATGATCCTAGATTGGCTTCCCTTTTCATTGAAGAAGCTGAAATTGTTGGATTCGAAAACCCAAGGGATGAACTTGTTGGTTGGTTAGTGGATGGAGCAACAGAGCGCACCGTGATTTCTGTTGTTGGAATGGGGGGACTTGGAAAAACCACTCTTGCCAAAAATGTTTTTGAGAACCAGCAAGTGAAAGGGCACTTCGATTGTCATGCATTCATCATAGTTTCTCAATCAAATTCAATAGAAGGCTTGTTGAAAAACTTGATGAAAGAGTTTTGCAAGGTGACTGAGGAGCCTCTTCCTCAAGGAATAAACACAATGGACAAGATGTCACTCCTTTCTGTAGTGAGGCATTACCTGCAGGGAAAGAGGTATGTAATCTTCTTTGATGATGTATGGAAAGTAGATTTTTGGGATGAGATCAAACTTGCCACACTTGATAACAAAATGGGAAGTAGGATAATGATCACATGCAGGAACTTGGAAGTTGCCAATTATTGTAAGAAAGATTCCCATGTTCAAGTACTAAAGTTGCAACCCTTGCCTGAAAATAAAGCATGGGAACTCTTCTGCAAGAAAGCATTTCATCTTGATTTTAATGGAAATTGTCCATCAGAGCTGGAAGAAATGTCCAAGGAGATTGTTAAAAAATGTGAGGGGTTACCCCTTGCAATTGTGGCCATTGGAGGTCTTATGTCAACAAAAGACAAAACTGTGTTTGAATGGATAAAATTATGCCAAAACCTTAGTTTTGAACTAGAGAGAAATCCCCATTTAACTAGTTTAACTAGAATTTTAGCCCTCAGTTATGATGACTTGCCTTACTATTTGAAATCATGTATCTTGTATTTTGGAATATATCCAGAGGACTACTCCATCAGGTGCATGAGATTGGTTAGGCAATGGATAGCTGAAGGGTTTGTCATATATGAGGAGGGAAAAACTTTGGAGCAAGTTGCAGAAAAGTACTTGAAAGAGTTGATCGACAGAAGCTTGGTTCAAGTCTCCAAAAATAACTATGATGGTAAAGCATCAAGTTGCCGAGTCCATGATTTCATACGTGATATGGTCATCAAAAAAATGAAGGACTTAAATTTCTGTCGTGTTGTTCGTGAAGATGATCAACCAACCGTTGATGCAACAACTCGACGCTTGGCCATAGCAACTAGTTCCTGTGATGTTCTTGCATGGATTGCACAAGTGAATTGCAAGTTCCGGTCCATGTATATGTTTGAAGCAGCAAGTGAATTGCCAGATCAATTTTTGAGTGGATTCTTTGCAAAATCTAAGCTTTTGAAAGTGTTGGATTTGGAAGGGTCATCATTGAGTTATGTTCCTAATGATTTGGGGAGTAATTTTCACTTGAGGTACTTGAGCTTGAGGAAAACAAATATTAAGATCATTCCAAAATCCATAGGTGAACTTCAAAACCTAGAAACCTTGGATCTGAAAGAAACACAAGTGCATGACTTACCAAGTGAGATAAACAAGCTTAAAAAGTTACGCCATCTTTTAGTTTACTACAGAGGTGTGACTTTAGGTTTTAGTGGTGAAACTGGAGTGCGGTTGAAGGGAAGTATTGGAAACTTGACATCTCTACAAAAGCTTTGTCATGTGGAGGCAGACCATGGTGGATTAAACCTAATAACAGAGCTAAGAAAGTTGAGACAGTTAAGGAAGTTAGGCTTAAAGAATGTGAAGAGAGAATTCCGAACCGCGCTGTGTGACTCAATAAAGGAGATGATCTGCCTTGAATCTCTTTATATTAGTGCAATAAGTGAAGATGAAATCATAGATTTGCAGTTTATTTCATCTCTCCCTAAACTTAGAAGACTTCACTTGTTTGGTGGCTTAGAAGAGTTGCCAAATTGGGTTCCAAGGCTTGAGCTTCTTGTTAGGTTGTCATTCCGATATTCCAAGTTGAAGGATGATCCCCTGAAGTCACTTAAGGATCTGCCAAATTTGCTGCGTCTCTCAATTACATGTGATGCGTATGTTGGTGAAATGTTGCATTTTGAAGTGGGATTTCAGAAATTAAAGAGACTATATCTTATAGAGTTGAATAATGTGAATTCTATTGTTATAGACAATGGAGCTTTACCTGCTCTTGATCGAATGCAATTGATGCGCATGCCTCAACTAAAGGAGATTCCCTCTAGCTTCCACCTACTTGAAAACCTTGAAACATTGTATTTGACTTATATGCCCCATGAGTTCATCCAAAGCATTGATCCAAATCATGGATCCAAGTATTGGGTCATCAAACATGTGCCTTTTGTATCTATCAAATAGAATGTTTGGTACAGCTATTCAGTCATTCACATATGAAGGTACTCTTTATCCTCTTACCACGTAGTTCAGCTATTATCATCTGCCTTGGACAATTCTACATTTTTATTTTGATGCAAGTAGACTTAATATGTAGTTTGTTGATGCAAATTGTCAAGGTTGCTGTTCGTTTCAAATTTTTAAATATCTTGAATAACTTTATAATTATATATGTTTTTAAAAGGAATCATTTGACTTCTTATTATTCGTTTATGAAATGTGTCCATATTGCCTTAATATGTTTACAAACTATATTGAATGTTTGATTCTGCATTTACTTATTTTTCTTTTGTTGGTCACTTTGTTTCTTATTCCCTTAGTGACCAGAGTGACCCTTTCTTTTCTTTGTCATGCAGAACAACGGGTATACTGAGTGTTCTGGAGCTATACGATGAATGGTGTTATTTAGATATCTTCTTTTTTTCTTTTGGTATATTAAAGGGCTAAGGAAGAAGGTGTTATTTCTCTTTCTGCTACGTATATGCCATTGTAAGCGTTATTTCAGCCTTTTGTATGTACTATTGTTTGTGGTGGGAATTGTGGATTGTTTCACTCTTACAAGATTTGTACTTTTGATATGGTGAATCATTAAGGCACTTTGGCGAATTTTTGTAACCTTGTAAGGAGTTTCACGGTTGTTTGTTAAATCTCATGTTTGCTGGGTTTGCTAGACATTGCTAAGACAGGGGTCATGATCATATAATTTAAAACAAGACAAATGGTCACCACATTATATAGATTCAACAATAGGTGGTTCGTGGTGTTCCTTCTAGAAAACCTGGGAGAGTTGTTATTCAATCAGGCTTGTCCACATCTGCCACTGGTTAAAACGTCAATTCTTATGTAATGTAACAATACAATTAAAATGTCAATTCAAATGATGAATAAGTCTTGATTACAAGCTCCAAAGAATAATTCCACAGCAAACAAAGACAATGCATTTGCCTCCGAAAACCAAAAGGAGGCAACCTAAAATTTACAACATAGACAACATGATTGGCAAGCAACAAATACAGTTACAACAAAGAAATTACATTTGTCTACATTAGGAAAATGAAAATATCCATTCAAATGAAGAAGTCTTGATTACAAGCTTGAAAGAGCAACTCCCACAACCTGCAATAAACACCACGAAAGAAAAAAAATGAAATGAAATGAAAAGCTAAAATCATTCGGTCATCATAAACCATGTATTCCATTTTAAAACTGTGATTTAAAGGATACATTTTATTTGGAGGCAGAATATGGAATTCTGTCCATATAAAAAGAGGAAACAAACCAATTTACATAAAGATATCAATATGCTATTTGTAGTACAAAGAAAGCCACAAAGATGATTCTCAAGACTTTCAAAAATTCCAATTATCAACAAACATCATAAATACACTGTCAATGTAAAAAAGTTATATAGTTGAATCCAATGATGTGTGTAGAAAAAATTATTTATGTTAATTGAAGATTGAAGCCCCAAAGCAAAAGACAAAAGGAACCCAAAAGGGACAACATAGGATTGGTGCTAAGCATTTTCACTACTAAATATATATAAGAGAAGCACTGTATGGTTGGAGGAAACCGTACCTTCATATATTTTAAAGATTGCTTGACACCAAAGCATTGTCAATATGTTTATGACTCTGAAGAGGACGAGTGAATAGTTTGGATTTCATTGTCAAAATATCTTGGACCGATCCAGCGACGAATAATTACAAGGGGAACATGCTTGATAATGAAGTAGTCTTGCCCTTTTTTAGGATCAATGCTCTCAACAAATTCAGCTGGCATATCATGGAAGTCAATAACTTGAAGATTTTTCAATGGTTTGATGCCAGAGGGGACCTTCTTCAACTGGGGGATTTTGACAAATTTCAAAGCTTGAAGAGAAAGCAAAGCTCCTTTGTCTATAAGAATGGAATTTATTCTATTCAAACGAATGAGTTTCAATACCTTCAACTTAGGAAACCCTTCATTTTGAAAATGCAAAATTTCAGCATCATAGGCATTGTCCGACACAGTGAGCTGCTGTAGATTCGGCAAGTTTTTCAGTGATTCTAGTGGATCATCTTTCAACATGGATAAACACAGCCTTAGCTTAACAAGATACTCAAGTTTTGGAATCCAATCAGGCAACTTCTCTAATCTAGCTTTCAAATGAAGCCGCCGAAGTTGGGGAGGGGATGATATAGAGTCCAAGTCAATGAATTCATCCTCAGCTATTACAGTGATATTAAGTAATTCAAGGTGTTTCATCTCTACCATTGAAGCACATAGTGCATCCCCATATTCTCTCCGTACATTCCTTATGCCTAGCTTTCTTAACTGTCTTAACATTCTCATCTCTTGGATGAGGTCTATGCCCCCATGATCTACCTCCACATAGTAAAGATTTTGCAGGGAAGTCAAGTTTTTAATACCTTTTTCTATCTGCACACCAGTTGTAAAGCCCATAAGAGAATAACCAGCTTCGTAGTTTCGATGGCAAGCAAGAAGATGTCGCAGCTTTGTGAGCTTGTTTATTTCACTTGGTAACTCACGCACGAGGGTTTGTCTTATATCCAAGGTCTCTAGGTTCTGTAGCTTACCAATAGATTTAGGAAGAACCTGTACTTTTGTATTCTTTAGGTTTATGTACCTCAAGTGGAAAAGATTCCCCAAATTATTAGGAACATAATTCAACGATGTACCTTCGAAGTTGAGTACTTTCAAAATCCTACACTTTGAAGATAATCTACCCATGAAAGGCTTAAGCAATCCACCTTTTTCAAAAACATGAATAGCACGAATGTGTGAGTTGCTAGTGCTCTTCAACAAATGGTTGGAATTAGCCCCAATAGATAGGCGTCTATTTATTCCAACTGCAACTGATTGATCATTCTCATGCACAACATGGCAAAATCTCAAATCCTTCATTTTTCTAATGATCATTTGATGTAATAAATCATGAACTTGACAAATTTTAACTTTCCCATCAAAGCACACTTTGGAAACTCGAACCAGACTTCTATGAATTAACTCAGACAAGTACTCCTCTGCAACTTGTTCCGTAGTTCTTCTTTCCTCAGAATTAACAAACCCTTCAGCTATCCATTGTTGAGTTAAACTCTTACGACTAATGGAGTAGTCCTCTGGATAAATACCAAAATAAAAAAGGCATGGTTTCAAATAGTAAGGCAGGTCATCATAACTAAGAGATAAAATCTTTGTTAGACTAGTTAAATGGGCATTTCGCCCCAACTCCAGGCTCAGATTTTGACTCACTTTCTGCCATTCAAAGATGGTTTTAGATTTTGTTGAAAATAGACCACCAATGGCCGCAATAGCCAGAGGTAGCCCCTTGCATCTTTGAACAATTTCAATTGACATAGCCTCAAGCACTGCTGGACAACGCCCATCAATCTCAAATCTAAATGCCTTCTTGCAGAAGAGTTCCCATGCTTTGTTTGGAGGCAAAAGTTGAAGGTTGTGAACGTGAACAAGAAAGGATTTCTTGGAAAACTCTGCGACATGCATCATTCTAGTGGTGATCACAATCCTACTACCTTTGTTGTTATTAGGCATGGCCAATTCAACCTGGTCTGAAAAATCTACTTGCCATACATCATCAAAGAATATCAAATACCTCTTATTCTGCAGATATAGCCTCACTTCTGTAATTAGTGACTTCTCATCCATTTCGCGTAACATCTGCGGAAAAGGATCTTTAGTCTCTTTACAAAACTGCTCCATCATGACTATCAATAACCCTCTCACAGTGTATGATTGAGAAACTGTGATGAAAGCACGACAATCAAAGTGCCCTCTTAACTTTTGACTATCAAAAACGTACTTGGCAAGAGTGGTTTTTCCAAGACCCCCCATTCCAACTACTGAAATCACTGTGCGCTCAGCTGCACCTTCCAATAACCAACCAATCAATTCTTCTCTTGGGGATTCAAATCCTACAATTTCAGTTTCTTCAATGAAAAGGGATGCCAATCGAGGATCAAACCTGCTTGATCCTTGTTCATGTGAAACTTGAAAGTTATACCTTTCACTTCTTTCCTTGATTCCACAAACTGACAATTTAATGTCCTGAATCTCAGAAGCTATCCTGTGACGGGGTATTAAGGTTGCAATCATGCAGACTAAAGCTGTAGATCTGGGATGATGTGCCTTGTGCATCAACCAGAGGTATTCATCAACGACGTCTTCTATGCGAAAAGATGCTTCTCTGAGTTGCTTCACCCAAGTTCTTATTCCATCATTGGTGTCTGCTTCATCTGTTGCCCTTCTATCTGCATCTTTGAGGAAGGCTTGAATGCTTTCTAGTTCATCTTTGATGTCTGAAAAACCTTTATGGACTCCTCTCAGAAGATTTGTTTCATCATTTAGGAGTTGTGACAGTTGTACTTGCTTCAGGGCAAACAATACTGCAGTTTCTGCCATTTCACTCTCAACTCATATTGCTGCTACCTTGCAACCTACTGTTCTGTATAATCAGCATAAGCATTCCAGCAAGTATGGAGTTTAGCCTCTCTTTTTTCTTTTGGGTACACTAGCTGTGAATGGTGCCAAGGAAATTCAGCTCCAAAAGTCAAACAAAAAGGAACGCCATTGTTTTTTGTTATCAGATTACAGTAATACTAAGAAGCGTGACAGAAAGCCTCTCTAATTATTTCTTTTAGCAAGTTGGTGGTTTAGGTAGACCATCCCTTTCATTGAACAAGTTTATTATTCCTAAAGTCAAGAACTTCACATGATCATGTCTGTATAACTATTCCTAATATTATTTTATAATGTGATTATGTTTTGTTTATATTTTGTTTATATTTTGTTTCTGCTACCTACTTGTAATACGACAGGCTTAATTCATAAAATATATAACTTTAACTTCCTTGGCATCTGTCTGACAATTAATTATATGTTTATAATCTAATAACAACAGAAAACCCCATCCCCAAGTTGCAAAGGTAGATGTGAAGGTCAATCATGCTAAGCCTTATCCTTACATTTCTGCAAAGATGCTTTTCCTGAATTCAAATCCGTAACTTTTCAGTTTCAAGGAACAACTTTATCATTGCTCTAAAGCTCACCCTCCTTGCCCTACCCTTGCATTTGTTTATCATCTTATGCCGAAGTGATGCAATAGAAGTAGCTGACACACATCATGTTACAAACCATAAGTATAGCAACTATATAATAAAAGCAAAAGGCTGACAGATAAATTAGTAATGCACTGGCTGCTAAACTAGCAATGCAAATTTAGAGCGAAATGATTATCTAACATCCTCAAAAGATATATTACAGAGGTCATAATTCCCAAAAATGTCCTTTTAAACCAAACTGATATTTTCAGTCTTTTAAAATGCAGTTGCAAATTAAATTTGAGCAAAATTTCAAAAGCCTTTCTAGAAACACTCACCAACAATCTAATGTGACTCATGAAACATTGACCTAACCTCCAATGGGTTTAGAATAAGGCAATAAGCTATTGCCACATCTAATATTGGGATATTCGCAGACATATCATAGTGTGGCCAGGACCCAGGACCTAGAGTTTTATACTGATGAAAAAAAAAATTACAGGCATACTTACATTGCAAACAAAAGCTGTAAAAGGAGAAATATTACCCATGTATACGACGCTGTTTTCCCGTGCTTTGTTTCCATCGTCCATCTACACTTGTTACCTACTTAGATGTTTAAAACTCATTAGCATAATATAATATTTAGACTAAATATCATCTTCTTCCAGCAAATTTAACGATGTCCGCTTTATTCTCTAAGAAATTCAAAATGGACCCATTTTAGTTCCTTTAGAGACTAATATAGATTTTTTTGAATTTGTGAGGAAACACGATCTTAACTAAACTAAATGGGTACATTTTGAATTTCTTAGAGACTACGATTAGCCTTTTTATTTGCTAGAAACTAAAACGGGTATCGTGAAATTTGTTGAGGATCAAAAAGGATATTTACTCCGATATTTAAAACTAGTAGGACATGAAAATATTCAAATGTACTGAAACTATGAAACCCATGGAAAGGAGGGCATCTTCTGTAATGCAGGCGCAACAATTACGGTATGCGGTGGTATTTATAATACGTATTACGGTTAATATATAATAACCCTAACTAATCTGTGTAATATGGAATTATAATATGATTAGTGAAATAATCTTAAGATTAAGGTTCTAACGAGATTAAAAATCTAATTAGATAAAAATAAAATATGTTTGAAAAAAATTCAAAAAAATGTGAGTTTTAAAAATAATTGTTAGCACGCAAAAATTACCCGAAACTCTAAAATAATTGAGTAAAACATCATAAAATATTTTTTGTGACAAGTTATTATTAGTTTGATAAGTTAAATGAACGAGATGAACTAATAAGAATACCACTTAGTGAATTGACTTTAAGGGGGTGTTTGTTACGTGGATTTTAATTGGTCTACCGAGAAAGCAAAGTTAGGAAAACTTTTATGTCACATCTGGTATCCAAAAAAGGGGAAGTTTACTGGGTTAAAATATTGTCGGTTGTTTTCTTTTGTTTGTATAATTATGTACGCTCAAGAATGGCGATGTCCTTCAAATATGTGGAATACATTTTTTCCTGGGGATGTGCAAATAGAACCGTGAAAGAAAGGACCAAAATCGCCTCACAAAGCTTCAACATGAAAGCTGGAAGGCTAACAAAAATAAACAAAAAAAACACTATTGAAAGCATCTCACCCTTATCGACTCCACATGAAGCATGCAACAAAGATAGCAAAACATGACAGAAGCTAAAAGTTGACTCACAGAGGACTAAACTTGAAAGGTGGTGTCTACACCTTTGGTGTCTATGTGAACAACGGCAACAACAATGTCTTCACAGCAGACGCCATCTGAAGTACCACTCGGTCGTAGTTTGATGAAAGAGATATTGAAGCGGTTGCTATGAAGAACATCCCATATTTCAATTCAAGTGCCTCACGTATGGTACTCGAATCTGTTTTTTTCTGTGGTTAATAATCCCATTTTTGTAAATGGGGTTATTATTGTAAAATAACCTTATTTTCCTACTATTATTTTACAATCAACTAAACAACAACTCAGAAAACTTAATCAAATTATCCCGGAAAAATTTTGGTCAACCAAACACTTTTTTGTAATTTACCCGGAAAAAATCAGTTCCTACCAATTTTTTCGTAATATTTTTTTCTCAGTCAAAAAATATTTCTCTTGTACCAAACGCCCCCTAAGTGCATCGGATATTTAGCAAAATATCTTATGTTTCAATTCAAAAAGCATTCCATTTCTCTTCTTCCCTTCGTGTCTTCTTCCTTACCTGTGACCTCCATCGCCTTCCAAGCTTGGTTTCTAATTCCTTCATTAGTTATTGAATCAACAAAGTTCCAACTAATAAAGTGTTTAGAATTCTAATACAAACATATCCACAATTTCAAATATCTTGAAAGTGATGTACCCGAGCTACTGACTTGGATTAGGCTTTTCTATAAATTATTCCATAGTTTAGGGCTTTTCAATAATTGTTAATTATTTCCCTTTTTGTTATTTTTAGATTATGTTTAAATGTGCGTTGATTGTGCGTTTATCTCCTTTGATTGCTCATGATTATTGTTATTTACTTTTTTATTATTTTATTTTGCCTATTTAAGGCTTAGAGAATCCTATTATTATCAAGTTATTTTTAGTTAAATAAAATTAAGAAAAGAGAAATAGTATTTTATCGCAATTCTTGTGTTCGTTCTTCTTTCTGTTTCGCCAATAGGTTACTGCTTCGACATTATTTGGTATCAGAGCTTTGGTTGTCACATAAATAGTTGAACAGAACAATGGCGGTCAAGGTCGAGGTCGTTGACGACAGGGTCAAGGCGACGGCGGTGGTAAATGGCGTATTCACACCCTTAACGGCGACGACGAACAACCACACATCGACGCGGGAGACGCCACAATTGTAGCAATGGCCACTACAATGGCAGAACGAGGTAGACGAATTCAGGAGCTCGAATAACTGTTTGCCCAAACATAGTTGGACGAGTCAGATAAAGGGAGAGAATCTGAAAGATCATCTCATGAGGAAGAAAGGAGCGAAAACCCATTCTGGAACTGGAACCAGGAGCGACGAGGATGAAGTCTGAGAGAAAATGGCCTTGAAGGTCGTAGGCATGTGAGGATGAAAACAAAATTTTTCAAAAGCGGAAACACACATGCCAATCAAGATATGTACTTTAGGACGTAATGATATACCTTGTTCGTGATTAAAACTCCAAGGTGATCAATGTAAGGTTTGAAAGGGTTCAAACCCTCTAAGGTTGATCCACACCACCCTACGTCAAGATGCAAGAACCCTTCTTGAAAAGCCACCAATTAAACACCACTAAGAAGGCTGGCTAGGCGTTCAATAGATGGAGGAGGAGGCAAGGTTAATGTGTTTAGATGAGTGAAATTTTCAGCTTAAAACTTCACAAAAGTGGTGCATGGAATTGATGAGAAGTGTCTAGGATATTCTTCAAAACTCTCTTAAGAAAAACCTAACAAAAGGATTACCAAAAGAGATGAGAGAGTCTAAGCATTCAAGTCAGATTTTTCACTTAAAAATCTGATCAAAGTGGCACACACCAAGGTAGAAAAAGGTGGAGTTGTTACAATTCAAATTTTCCCAACAACCTATCTTTTAATCCTCATGAGACTAGGTCTTAACCTTGTCAAAATTCTGACCTAATGACCATCATATGGCCAGTCATATGGTGCACCCCTTTGGTCCACAATGCAGTCCAAATACATTGAGTAGTTGCATTCAAATTTGAACCAACTTACTCACTTATTATCTCAACCAACCAAATCTGATTTGGAGCTTATTTGGTTGACTAAATGACACTCATAACAACCCAAATCAGCGCCCCAAACAACCTTGGATGATGCTCAAATATCTCCTCTTGATATTAGGGATTTGTTCCAACAAGATCTTATCTTATTCTTTTGTTATGAAACAACTTTTCATAGCCAATTCAAATTCGAATTCAAACATTTAAATTCAAACGTTCAAACATTTAAATTCAAAATTTAAATTCTAAATTTGAATTCTAAATATACATATTTGATAATTAATTTAACTAATTAAATTAATTAATAATGTCTTGGACCGGTGTAGTGAAAAGTGGGCTAGGGTCCTTGCCCCAAGGCAAGGCGCCAGGTCTTCATCCAGATTTGGTGAGAAGTATGCCAGGGTCCCAACACGCAGATGGGCGAGCGTGGCGGACAAGCATAGCCCAGGGTTAAGGATGAGATTGGGAAGCTGGAACATAGGAACCTTAACGGGTAAATTGAGGGAGTTGGCAGATGTTTTTGCTAGAAGGAAAGTGAATATTGTTTGTTTGCAAGAAACTAAGTGGGCTGGAGAAAAGGCCAAGGAAGTGGATGGAACTGGTTTCAAGTTATGGTATACAGGTACTAACAAGAGGTGAAATGGTGTTGGAATTATGATCGATAAAAGTTTCAGAGATAAAGTTGTGGACGTCAAAAGGAAAGGCGACAAGATTA